CCATCCACACACACACACATAAAAAAAAAAAAAAAAAAAAGGAAAGAAAGAAAAAAAAAGAACACCCTTAGAGTTTACCCATTTCAGTGACTCTTCCACTCACTCACTCCTCTCCCCAACAAGCCCCATCTGCGCGAATTTTAATCTCGATTCTCGACCTCGTCAGATTCTGTAACGGAGAAATTTAAAGAACACCCACATAATTTAGGGGTAATACCAGTTCCCCCATACTCCTTAGATGGCCGACGATACTACCAACACCAAACAGTGGTACAGTGGTACTCTTCTCCTACCTTTTTCTCTTTTTTCTTTTTTTTTAAGCATCTTGGAGGGGCCTTTTGCAGCAAACTCAGTTCTGCCATCTATATTTGACGCCCCCGCGCCGAATTGATAGCCGAAGATGAAAGGGAGTGAATGGTGGACCATAGGGTGTGCGGTCAGAGGAGAGGACGTGGTGATGGGCTGCTGTTAAAATTCTTTCAATCTGATCATCACGAGAGCTTGCTGTTACCTACTCTGTTTTGTAGTGTTCATGTGTGTGTGAACAATCTGGCTGCAGCACTCTGCACCGATACTAATATCTGCTAGCTGATAGGAGCACACTTTTTTTATTTTTATTTTTATTTTTTATTTTATAGAGAAGGAGCACACTTTTAACGTAATCATCAGGCCCATGCTTATCCTTCATATATTCCCACCCACATCCCGGGGCGAGGTCCCACTACCAAGAGGATGGGATAAATATCCTGAATCTGGACGTGTTCTAAGCAGAGATGCAGAAGAGAAGTTCAATGTCGACATTCTGCACCTTTCCGCAAACAAGTCCAGATTCAGGCGTTCAATCCAATCCTCTCTGCTAGTGGGACCTTGCCCCCGAGTACGGCCCGAACCTCAATGGACGTGAGTCATGTGACAGTAACCGAGCCCCCAACTACAACTACTGTGTCAGGCCATGGTTACACTACTGGCCATCCGCCAAGATTTTGAATGCATCTGGATAAAATGACGTCCATATGCATATGGCGTATCCAAGATTTCGAATGCATCTGGATAAATGTTGGCGGATGGCAAGTAGTGCGACGAGGCCCTCAGTGTGTCCAACCAGACACCCACCGCACCCTAACGGTAGATGGCTGATGCTTCCAGCGCCTCTGCAGCGAATTGTTTTTTGTTTTTTTTTTAATTGGTCCGCGAATTGGATACGCTCCTCTTTTTTTTTTTTTTTTTTTTTTTCTTACAAAAGACTCAGCTCGTTTGATTACGCAAACCAAAAGAAGAGGCCGAGAATCCTCAACAAAGGGTCTCGCTGCACTACTCTCCACTCTCTGGGAAATCTGAGAGTACGCGGAGAGTTGTCAGACTCTCCCATTTCCCGGATTTTGGGTCATGGCTGCACTAACTCTACAACTATCGAGGGCTTTCCCAAAAAGAAAAAGAAAAAAACTATAGAGGGCACAAAACGACAGCTCAAAGTCCCCGATTGTCGGCCCAGACTCAAGGTTCACTCTCCAGGGGCCTCGGCCCACATGCAAGGTTTAGGGCCTCGCCACACAGCCTGTCGAAAGGCGAAAACGACAAAAATGTGGCAGGTGCATCTGGCCATGTTCTAGCGTGAAGTTCATTCTCATTTTGCACATTTCGACAGCGTGTGTGGCGAGGCCCTTAGTAGCAAAAAATGCTACTGGGCGACAGCACGATGGGCGGGAAAATCTTGTCTGCGCCGAGCCGCTTATTTTTGCCTTCTGCTGTCAGCACTGGGGCAGACGCTGACAATTTGCGATATGCCCTCACCACTTCTGAAACATGGGTAATGACATGGGTAATGACTCGCATCCACCGCCCTCACGTGCCCTGTATTGTTAAGGAACCACATTTGTGAGGACTACAACGAAAATGGCGACGCCCCACATAGCCCCCCCCTTCATGCGAACCACGGTCGTCGGCTGCAGGGCTCGCATCGACGGCCCACATCTTGTCTGCACTATGTCGTTGGCGTCACTTTCACACTCAACAACCCTCCACACTCGCGGGAAAGCCTTCTCGCGAAGGCCAATTCTGCAAAGGATTGGGTAGACCAGGAACATCTGGTGCATGGTTCCCACCTTTGGAAAGTCGGAATTCGTCGTGACTCTTATGGAAAAAAGCGCATGAATTGAATGGACCTGGACCGGTTGGTGCAGGAGGTCCTTTGAGGTCTGTCGTTTAGAGCCCGTCCTTTCCCGAGGTACGGCGGGAGCTATTTGGTCCCGTTATATAGTTCTTGGCGCTTGTGAGCTTGTTTTTTAGTGCCTTTTCGGTATCGGTCGTGTGATTGTGGTTTGATTCGTTTTCGTTTTTTACGTTGTTTTCTAAGTAGAATAGAAGTTGACGAAGTGAGCCCGTGAACTGTTGTGTCGTAGTCGTGGAGTGAATGTGTAGTATATAGTTAGTGTATGCTAGTTTTTCGGCCTTCACGTCTTTTGACGTTGCCGCGGTTTGGGGCGGTGACTTCTGTTGTTTTCGACCGCGTGCTTTCGTTGACATCGATGAGCTTGTTGCTACGGTGGCGACTTCGGCGTGTGACGAGTGCATAGTTAGCAGCCACGTGCTAGCTTGCGCACCAATTGGAAGTGTCCACGAGCAATTTTTGCTTCAACTGATGTTATAATAATCAGCTTTGACTTCTTTGTTTGTTTCATTGAAGTAACTTCGACTTCTCTGTTTCTCATTGAAGTAGTGCTGCGGCGTGATCGCGTTTGCGTCTACGCTTGATTTGCATTCCTGCAGCTATGGTCGTAACCTGCCTGGAGATTGGACCCGGATAAGGTGGCGATTATAAAATTGAGTTGTGGAAGTGATCTCGCTCAGGTGTTGGTGGAGTGTATGACGTCGCAGATAGGGGACAGTGTTTGATCGTGAAGAGATTACTGTGAAGTGCGTGAAGCAGTGTGCCTCGCGATGAGTGAAGGGAGTGAAGGGCAGCAAGAGGGATCGTCGAAATCGATGGACGGTAGAAAGTGCTATAAGTGTGGTGAATCCGGTCACTTTATCCGGGAGTGTGCGGAGTACTGGATGGGGAAAGTGAGGGGCGTCCCGTTTGTGTCAACCTTTGTGGCGTCTCAGGCCCTCAGGGTGGCAGAACGGGGAGAGCTTTGGTACCCGTGGTTTCTATGGATGAAGTAGCTAGACGGAGTAGATCGGCGGACAGCAATACAGACAGACATGGGAACGAGGAGATGAATGCCATGATGAGAGAGTATTTCGTGGAATTGGCAAGAGAAAAGAGAGAGAGAAGGAAGAGAGAGGAATTGGAGGAGAAGAGTAGGAAAGAAGCTGAAGCAAGGGAGGCAAAAGAACGTAGGAGAATGCAATGTGGAGAGGAGAGGCAGCGGCGAGAGGCTGATCGAGATGCGCGGCTGTTACGGATTATCAAAGGGGAGTTGATGAAAGAACCTTGCGCCGGGAACTCAGGGCCTGTTGTGCGTGAAAAACAGAAAGCGAAGCTAAATGGGTATAGAGAAACTGTCGAGGAAGAGAAAGAACGATTGCGAAGAATGATCGTGAAGCAAGAAGAGGAGGAGGTGGAGACGGAAGACGACGAACTCCGATTGTTGCGGCTTCGGGCCTCTAAACTGGAGCTTAAAGAAAAACGGAAGCGTGGGCCGGAGGTGTCGATCGGCAACAGCTCTCCGATGACGACTCCAGGAAAAAGGTCTCATGTTAAACTGACGGATGAAGCGAAGTGCGCAATTGAGGAGTTGAAGAGGGCTTCTACAGAGGAGGGGGGAACATCTCTTATCCCCCGTAGGATTGATCTGTCGTTGAAGCACATTTCTGCGGCATGTGGAGTTAGGGGAAAAAAAAACTCCGTAGAGGAGTGCAAAGAGTTCTTTGACGCTTTGACGGTCGAGGAAATCAAGGAGATTTGCCGAAAGGAGAGGGTTCCGTACGGCAATCGGGATGCAGCGATCAAACGATTGGTGATTCGGAAGTCCGCTGTGGCCTATGACCCGGCGTTCCTTCCGTTTCCACCAACCCCGACGATGAAAACTAGAAGCAAGTGTGCGACCGCCGAAGTGAAGGAAGAGACTGCTGTATATCCGGACAGTACTAGCTCCGATTCCGATGAGTCAACCGAGTGAGGACTGTGGGACAACGGTTTCTACTCGAAAGAAGCACGGGCTTGTTGTGAACTTCGTTCGCAGAAGAATGGTAAGACGAAACGGGAAGAGAGTAGATTGAGAGCTACCGTTATTGGATTGGTTCTGACGGGCAAAGCAAAATGGGGTGAGAAATTCGTTGGGTATTGGAGGGGGGAAGTTGAGAACGGTACTTTCGACTTAGTTGGGCCTGCCAGCTGTGTGTATGTTCTGATATCCCCGTGGTACAAACAAGTGTATATCGGTTATACTAAGAGGGATCTTTGGTCTAGATGGAGAGAACATTATTGTTGTGAGAAAGGGGGCGGGAAGAAGCTCAGGAGGAAGTTATACAACTGGTTAGGGAAGATCGGTGCCCATAATTACGTTGCGATTCCTGTCTTTTCTAGTCTGGATAAGAAAGAACTGGAGGCCGTTGAGGCTACCTTGATCAAGATCTGGTCCCCTGCCTTGAACTCTACTGCAGGTAGGAATGGAAAGTGCGGGAGGAAGGGTAAGCATCGACTGGGAAAAAGGGAGAGACACCGATTGCAACTGCGCGAAGCATCAGGAGCACGGAAAGGGGAAGTGGTGAGGCAAGGGAAAATTATTGAAGTAAAGACCAAGGGTAAAAAGAAGAAATGTAACGTCCATATTGAAAGTGGCGGACGGTTGGAGGTTGGTGAGGAGATTGTTTGGAGAAAGCAGAATAAAATGGGGAAGGGGGACGAAACCACTTCGAAAGTGCAAATTCATGTTTGAACGAGGTGGGTTGATCACCTTGCGCCGTATTGTTGAAGCATCTCCTATGAACCTAAAGTTAAGGGATGACATCGTTGGTATGTTTACGTCCCCGTGGAAGAAGAAGACGTTGTTAAAATTGGAATTGGAGTGTCTTGTGAGGTATAATGGCGCAGTTAAGACTTTCTCTACCAAACGGAGTCGATCTAAGGCTCGGCATATGATTTCGAATGCCATTGACTGGCATTAAGGTAGCACATAGTGTGAGTATCAGAAAAAGGATTATCACAAGGGTTAAATTTGATGATAGGATAAAGAAGCGTGAATTACGAGGCTGGTTAGAAGGAAGGTGGGGGAGTTAAATCTGGCTAAACCGAGTGAGGAAATGGTAAAACGACGAGCGCGCGTAGTGTGGATAAAGTGCCCGAATGTGGGTTCGATTCAACACAATCATCGGCGATATGCGTCGATTGGCGCTTCCAGCTGTACATGTGCTGGGTTAGACTATCCTAGAATGGATGGTCAAGTGCATTTTCGGATCGGCGAAGCAGCTGATTTTTCGCACTTTATTAGGAACGCGAAGAACGTGCCTAGACAACGTGAGCAAGAGAGAGGAAAGAGGTTGGTCGAAGAAATTGAAGAAGGGTTCCGTGATTGGATGTTTGGGTCAGGGTCTCAGCGCCAAGCCATCAGGATTACCTATGAGGATGTTAAGTGTTGTTTTTCGAAGCGGGGTATCGAAGACGACATGGTCTGTGGGATTGACGATGTGTTGGATGTGAAGAGAAAACTCAGCGGGTTGGTGCTAGCACCCTTGGATAGAAATCCAGGTGATACCTTGGTACAGTGTCCCATCTTGTACGCCAGAGGGATGTTTACTACCTTTTTTGACAATGATAGTTATCGCGTTTGTATTGAGAAGGAGGAGGTGGAGTTGGGGAAGGCACGGTGTGAATATCGGAAGTTGGAATTGCAATCCGTTGGGAGGTGGAATGATAAGGGTCGGATCAAGGAGGCTTACGCTCTTCCAAAACATAAAGACACGACGAGGTATCGCCCCATCTGTCCCACATTCGATGAGCCTTCATTTCAAGCTTGCAAGAAAGTGGCACGGGCCATTAACTGTTTGTTGTTTTCCCTTCTGGAATCGGGTCATTTAAACTTGCGATCCATTTCGGAGATAAAGGGTCGGATTAGCCAGATCGACCGGAAGCTGTCGAGGGTTGGCAAATATATCCAAGTGATTGGGGCGTCGTACGACGTCAAGGATATGTTCAATAAACTACCTCATGAATCTATCCTTAGCGTCGTAGACTGGGTTATCTGGTGGTTCCGTGAGAAAGGTTTTTGTGGAGTGTTTGTAAAGCGGAAAGGAAAAGGGGCGAGGTTGAGGAGGTTGGAGAAGGTGGATGGTTATGAGTTGATTTCCTTTTCCATGTTAAGGAACTTTGTTTGTTTTGAGTTGAAGTTTTGTTTTACTCGAGCGTGCGGGGTCCTACTGAGCCAGGTCATTGGGATCCCAATGGGGAAAAGCACGAGCCCTCCCCTGGCTTGTTTGCTGTGTGCCAAAAATCAATGGGATTTTCTGTTAGCTATAGGAAACCAGAAGAGACTGTTCAATGGGCTGCGTTTTGTGGACGATGTGTCTGTGTTCACAGCTTTCAACCCCCGAAGGAAAGGTGCGAGGGAGGAGGCTGTTTCTCTTCTTGAGCAGTTTGGTAAGTGCTACGATAAGAAGCTTACTCTGAAGAGGACGGGCAAAGGAAAGGATGAATGAGTGTTTCTTGGCTGTAAGCTGAGCATCCGGAAGTCTTTTCCCTTTCTTGGTACCGTGCAACTCTCAAAGAACAAGGAAAATCTGAGAAGAAACAATGAACTTACCTTTCGCTCGATCCAGGATTATGGATCGTGGACATGCAAGCGAGTGAAGATGGCCATGATTGTGGGCGCCCTTCACCGAATCGAGCAGAATTCGAGCGATTGTCTGGAGATTGTTGACACGGTGGTGGTGTTTCGAATGGAATTGAGGAGGAGGAATTACCCTTCGGATTGGTTCGGAAGGGGGCTGAGGTGTTTTGTACGGGGTAGGATGACTTTTTGGAAACTGTTAGCGGTCTTGCTGACAGATAGTCGCCTGATTCAATAGATCGGCGGTTTGGTTTCATTTCTCGTCGGCTTGTGGCTACCCCTCGACACATAACACTTGGCACTACCAGCTCGTTGAGTAGACCAGGACCATATGTCACATAGTTCCTACTTTGGAAGGCTGAAATTTGCAAAGGATTGGGTAGACCAGGAACATCTGGTGCATGGTTCCCACCTGTGGAAAGTCGGAATTGGTCGCGACTCTTACGGAAAAAAGCGCATGAATTGAATGGACCTGGACCGGTTGGTGCAGGAGGTCCTTTGAGGTCTGTCGTTTAGAGCCCGTCCTTTCCCGAGGTACGGTGGGAGCTATTTGGTCCCGGTATATAGTTCTTGGCGCTTGTGAGCTTGTTTTTTAGTGCCTTTTCGGTATCGGTCGTGTGATTGTGGTTTGATTCGTTTTCGTTTTTTACGTAGTTTTCTAAGTAGAATAGAAGTTGACGAAGTGAGCCCGTGAACTGTTGTGTCGTAGTCGTGGAGTGAATGTGTAGTATATAGTTAGTGTATGCTAGTTTTTCGGCCTTCACGTCTTTTGACGTTGCCGCGGTTTGGGGCAGTGACTTCTGTCGTTTCCAACCGCGTGCTTTCGTTGACATCGATGAGCTTGTTGCTACGGTGGCGACTTCGGCGTGTGACGAGTGCATAGTTAGCAGCCATGTGCTAGCTTGCGCACCAAGTGGAAGTGTCCACGAGCAATTTTTGCTTCAACTGATGTTATAATAACCAGCTTTGACTTCTTTGTTTGTTTCATTGAAGTAACTTCGACTGCTCTGTTTCTCATTGAAGTAGTGCTGTGGCGTGATCGCGTTTGCGTCTACGCTTGATTTGCATTCCTTCCAATTCTGCCCGCAAATCCTACCGAAGAGGAATTAGGGCGTTTAGTTAGCTATGACATTTGTTCTGCGATAGTAAACTAAACACCCCCCCCTGGCCCCGCCCTCGCCGTGTGTTTCGCCGACATGCATGTTGCCAATGGAAACGCCCCGTTTGGGCGCCAAAGCTGCCATCTCCCCGCGCTCCACTGACGACCTCTGGATTTTTTCTCCATCCACCACTCCTTCTCGTCGCGGAGCTGTCCAACTGAACGCGACACTTGCATGTGGGCCGAGGCCCCAGATTTGGAGCAAATTGGTGGTTCCTTCGAAGGTCTCTCCCCGTAACGAATTTTGCAGGCTGGGCACTCTCCGTCGGCGGAGAGTTCAATTCTTTTGTGGTTTCTGACAGCTCTCCGAATTTCTTTTGGGGTTCTATCGGAGAGTTTGTGCAGCGATGCACAACTCTCCGAATTTGCGCGAAGTAGAGTAGTGCAGCGAGACCCAAACAACCCGGGGAAAGGGAGAAAATTGTTACTGGGACCATTACCCAGCTGGGGAGTAGGCGGCAGGGTGAAACAAATCCAGAGACAGAAATCGCCAGAACCAGACCTCTGTCCTGATGATACCCGCCCCCTTTTGTTTTTTTTGTTTTTCATCTTCTCTTTTTTTTTTTTTTTTTCCCTCCCCCTCCTCCACCCCCCCCTCTAACGATACGCTCATGTCGTGCGTCCCACATTTCAACGTTACATTTCCAGCCATCACCTCCTGGACCCCCCAACGGGCGTTGCTGGGCCCCACCTGGTACCTAGCACCTACTCCGTCCAAGCAATCCGCCGTTGAGCCCCCGGCAGGTGTAGGAGCATTTAATGACATGGTAGTGCTAAATCGCACAACAGATGAGAGATGATGACACGCTGGATGACTGTACCATGACAATGCATTGAATGTCGTAGGTGATTCATAATTTATTTATGTACTATTTTATTACTCAACTGCTTGCTGCGCAGTTCGACCTCAGGTCTGTCTGTATTTCAACAGTTGAGTTTTTTTTTCGTACCAACTGAGCTAGTAGGCCAGTTGGTAGACAAAGCATTCACACAGTAGGAGAAAGAAGGAGGACAGAAAACCCAAGCACAGGTCTTGCCATCTTGGTCAGCCAGCCAAATAGACACCTGAAGAACCCAGCAATCCTGCCCACCGTCCCCTGGCAGATGGCTACTACGGCTAGTATCACTGATTCTACTAGCACTCATATCTTTTTTTTTTTTTTTTTTTTTTT